CCACCTCATTGCTCATCCTTCAAAAACTCCAGCCCCCTCCAAACTGTTCCCTTTTTAAGGGGTCATCTGTCCCATTTCTACTAATCCATTGTTTATAGAAACTATCCAAAAGGTTCTGGGGTGTCGGCACCAAATACACATAATACACACATAAACTCAAAACGGAAGAAACTGGAGTCCTTTTCCTTCTTTTTGCTCTTCTTCTTCTTCTTTGAGCTCACTAATAATTGAGTAGTAGGAAAGGAAGGATGCGTCTTCTCACATACTCTTCTCGTCGTCTTTTTTTCACCTTTTGTGTTGGGAGGTTTTTTTGCGACACCCAAGAAGAAAAGCCCAGTTGTTGTTTATTTTTTGTGAATCCCCCCGACCCCGGAAAAATAGGTAATTGTGTTTGGAAGTTGTTTTTTGAGGATGGGTCGGGCAATAGAATTTGCATATCTATATATTTTCATCAGGGTAGTTTCATCAGGGTATATAAGGATGCTTTTTGAGTACTTTTTTAAAGATTGAAGTTTTATGCCCATTTGAGGGTTTTACAGTACTTCAGGCGGTTCTTATTAATCTCACTTTTTAGAAAAAAAATTGGTAAGATTTAATCATTTAAAAATGGCATAAAACTTGTTGGATTAGGCTGAACATTCTAGAAATTTTTACTCTAATTTTTCTAGAAACTTTTTTTTTCTAGAAACTTCTAGAAACTTTTGAAATTTTTTTCGAAAAAGTAAATCTAAAATAGATACAGTACCAGACAGAAAGTTCATGTTTTGTCACTTGGAACTTTTTATAAAGTACGGTGAACCTCCAATAGAAGGGCACCAAAACTCTTAACTTTGAGCCCATGTAAATTTGAAAAGGATAGTGGGGGTTGGAAAGTTTTAGCCCATGTAACTCATTTCCTGTAAAATATATCAAAAAGTGGTTGGTAAACTGCGAGAATGTTTATCATAATATCAAAAACAGCTGACGACTTTATTAGACCTTTCACAGGAACCAAGATAATTTTTCTCAAAGTTCAAAATGAGTAGGTATTATTTTATTTATGTGTTTACTGTCTTATTTTTACTTTCAGTGCAAAATAGTCAACTTTTAAAATCTCAGTGCTCCGAAAACATCAGAATATACTAAAAATAAGAAAATTTTTTTTTTATAATTGATAACTTGTTCCCAAATAATTAGGTAGATTCCATTCTGTAGAGATATGCTGTTTGTAACAGAAAAAGTGCGAAAAAATGCCAAAATTAGCACTGAAATTAGAGTTGAGCCAGTTTAAAACCACCTATCTTGCTTCGTTGGATTCGTACAACAAAATTGGCTAATTACAAAAATGAAGCTCTTATTTTGTTTAGAATACTCTGTAATTTTCAGACAAATCGAAAAATCCTGAAACACTTTTTCCGGACTTCAAAGTCGACTATTTTCTCAGAATAAGATAGAAATGATGTCTTTTCTTAAATATGGAATAATTGTCCCTGAATTGTAAAACTGCTGCCTTTCACTAATTTATTCTTTCGAAATTCTAAATCTTATGATTCATATTCCAGCTGCCATTTTGCTAGAAAAAGTTTTGAAAGTTCATTTTCCCCTAGACTCCTAACCTTTCTAACAAACCTTTCTCATGATCTTTTTTTGCTTCCAACCAAGCCCAGAAACTTCCAATTATTATATCATTTGTCTCCATTTCTTCGAAACTCCAGATATATCCTCCTAGACCCCCCACACCACACACACGTCTTGTTTGAACAAACAAAAAAATCCGTCTAAATTTTTTTTTCGTTACGAGAGTTTACTTTCTCCGCTTCTTCTTCTTCTGTTACCACCACCACAAACATCAGCTCAGCCGTTTTTTTTTTGCGCCTGACCCAGAGGGATATTTATCTTTTTTATGACACTTCAAGCTTATTAGGTTAGGTTTTTGGCACCTGTGAATGTAGCCGCTGAAATCTCTTGGCTATATAGAAACAGGTGATTTCATTCGGTTTCCTGAAATTTCACAGAAGTTCCCGTGATAAATCTGAAGTCTGGTTTTTGGAATTTGAGAATTTGGATATACAATTTTTTGGGCAAGTTATATTAGTCATTTTTCAGTATCACAGAAATAAGAGTTGAGCCACTTTAAAGCCGTCTATCTCGCTTAGTTGATTTTTTACAGAAAAGTTGCAAATTACGAAAATGAAGCTCTTGTTTTGTTTAGTATACCCTGAAATTTTTAAACAGATCGAAAATTTCTGAACTATGTTTTCAGGACTCCAAAGTTGACTATAACGTGTTTCTACTAATAGGAGCCCATCCAAATCGTCAACTTTGAGCTCAATTATCTCGGTTCCTATGAGAGATATCGAAAATCTGTTAACTGATAAAATATTGGTGATATTACGATAAAAAATTTATCATTCACCAAATTTTGATTATCTTTCACAGGATCCATGATAATTGAGCTCAAAGTAGACGGTTTTATGTGCGCTACTATAAGAGGGAATACTCTCTCACTTTAAAAAAAAACTTCTGTGCTACTGTAAATACCAACTATCATTAAACCTCAAATTGCACTTACTAACAAAAAACATATTTCAAAAATTTAAATTTTCAAATTTGTTACCTAGCAATTTTATCAAATATCACTTTTCAAAAAGTGCATCTTCAACCCACTCGTTTTGTTGTTTGTGTCCTCCATCCGTCGTCATATTTTAATTCAATTTCCTATTCTTTCACTATCCAATTTCCCAATTTTTTTCCATTTTGCAGTTCCGGTAGGATCAAATGTGTCCGTGAGTGTCAAGAAGAAAAAGACTCATCAACATCATCAACTTTTCGCCCCCAAAAATGTCACGAATGGACAGTTATAGTTCGCAGATTCGCGAGGAGCAGAAAGCAATTCTCAACGGTCTTTTAGGTATTCTTTTTGCGGACGGTTAGTCTAATTAGGAATAGAGAGAGCGTGATTTTTTTGCATGAATCTGTGAAACTGTGATATGCTGACATGTGCGCTCTATTGTTAATCTAACATTGTTGTCCATTTAGAGCTCATTTATCTAAGTTGCTCGATAAGCTATCAAAATTTGGTCAACTGATGAATTGTTTATCATAATGTCACCAATGTTTTATCAGTTGATAGACTTTTAATAGATCTTATAGGGACCGAGATAATTGATCTCAAAGTGCACGAAAAAAATTATTGTCTAATTTGCAGGAATCATCTATGACAACTACGACACAACTAGGAAAATTCAACAAACTGTGGATGGAATCTATCGGTGAGCAAATTCAGATAGTTCCAACGTCTTCTAATAACTTCATTTCTTTCAGAATGGTAGTTGCCCTATTGCTCATCGTGATCGCTCTCATCATCATCGCCATATTCCTCATATGTTTCTTTCATTGCCGACGTCCGAACGAGGAGAGGTCGCCGCTTCACTCAAATCGCAAAAGTCATCCCATCGAAATCTGACCAATTCTTTCTCTTTCACCACTTTGCATAGCTGCTCGTGTTATGGGTCTCTGATTGTGTAACTATAATAAAACTCGTTTTTTGGAAATCTCCATTCTTCGAAAAATAAATAGATTCGGAAAACATCGAAAAAATATGAATTTCCTTTGAGCTCAATTATCTCGGTTCCTTGAAAAAATCTCAAAAAGAGGTCAACTGATAAATTGTTATCATAATATCACCAACATTTTATTGGCTGACAAATTTTTGATATATCTTCTTGGAACCGAGATAATTAAGCTCAAAGTTCATATATAGGATAAACTTTTAGTAGAGCATTTACAGCACTTTGAGCTTAATTATCTCGTTTCCTATGTCTCGGTTCCTATGTCAGAGATGTCAAACATGTGTCGACAAATAAATTGATTATCATAATATCACCAACATTTTATCAGTTGACAATCTTTTGATATCTCTCATAGGAACTTAGATAACTGAGCTCAAAGTGAACTTATGTTAGAGCAAATATGGTGGTCAACTTGAAGTCATGAAAAAGTATTTCAGAATTTTTTGATTTTTCTGAAAACTTCCGAGTATACTGACCAAAAATAGAGCTTCATTTTTGTAATTGACAACTTTTTCGTAAAAATCATACACAAATTCGAAAAAAGGTGCTTCTCGTACATGCTCTAATAGAAGCAAAATCTAGACGTCTACTTTGAGCTCGATTTTCTCGGTTTCTATGAAAAATATTGAAAGTTTATTAACTAATAAAATATTGGTGATATTATGATATACAATTTATCAGTTGACAGATCTTTGATAATTTTTATAGGAACCGAGATAATTGAGCTCAAAATGCACATATATCAGATCAAGTACGTTAGTTTCTGTTAAAAGGATGCCTACCTTTGAGCTCAATTATCTCCCTTCCTGTGTAAGATATCAAAAACGTGTCAATTGATAAAATATTGGTGGTATTATGATCAAAAAATTATCAGTTGACAGATTTTTTATATCTTTTGCGGGAACCGAGATAATTGAGCTCAAAGTCAAATGAAAACATCATAAATGAAAAAACATTTAAAATTCTTTTCTACTTTTTATTATGGCGAATCACAGTTTGAAAGATCTCATTAAAAGAAAAAATTGAACAAAGTGAAATTGTTAGATAATGGAAGCCAGTCGAAAAAGTGTTCACAAATCGGCAGGATCAGCAAGCAGCGCCTTCTTCTCACTGGTCGTCGCTGAATTTCTCATTTTTATGACTTCTTCTAAAAATTAATGACAAACTGAACGGTTTAAAAACTGAAGCTTATTCGCCATTCTGACCTCCTTCTTTATCTTTCTCCTCCTTCTCCTCGCCCTCCACCGTTTTCACCGATTTCACCGACTTCTCATCGTCCGAAGCTTCTAGAAGACCTTTGACGAGTTCCTTGTCAACTGCTTTACGTCCACTTGTGATGTAGACTCCGTTCAAATGTTGCTCCACACGACGGAGTTGACGTTTCTTGGCAAAGTGCTCACAGCCTGAATTTTCAGATTTTTTTTGAAATTTTTTTTTAATTTTAAAACTTACACATATAAATCAAAGCCAACGGAATGATGGTCAAGATTCCAATTGGTCCAATACTCGATGTGAAGTTATTGTACCATTTATAAATATCCTTTGTGTCAGCGATTTCACAATACTTTCCAGAATACGGTACCGAGCATGTGCACTCTGTCAGATCGTAATTTGGCACTCCATTTCCATGACAATCAATTATATCACAGTCTGGGCCAGCCCATCCTGTTTGGCATTCGAAACAACTTCCATTCTGGAGGCGTTCGAAACCGGCACATTGCATGGTACGATGGCAAAGGGTTCCAGTCCATCCTTCGTTACAGAGGCAACGGTCACCTGAATGTATTTATTTCTCCAAATATGATATTATCAAAAAGTACAATACAGGCCCGAAGAGTCATTTCAAATGGAAGCGGGCCTTTTTGTAGACTGTCGAGCCTCATTTTTCTCATTTCTTGTGAAAGATATGAAAAGGGGACAACTGATAAAATGTTTATCAAGTTATCGAAAACATTTTGTTTGTTGATTTCTTTTTGGTATCTTTTACAGGAACCGAGATAAACCAGCTCAAAGTCGAACGTTGAGATTAACCGAATGTCTCACTATCACTCACTGTATCTCAAAAACTTGAAAAGCTAGATAAAATTTTTAACTATCAAATTGTTTATCTTAAAATTGTTAACATTTTTCATGTTTGTAACTTTTTTCTAGCTCTAACCGTTCTCGCAATATGCGTCTTTAAAGATTGCGCGCTCTGACAACGGGAGATAGAGACGCAGAGAAGAGAGAGCGCTCTCGTTTCTCTGCGTCTCCGCGAAACTGTAAAGGCGCATATCTCGAGAGCGGTTAAAGATATCAAAGTGCTGTAAACTGCAAAAATGAGAAAAATTTTATTCTGAACAATTTTCTTGTGGAAAATGTTTCGCCTAAACACAATGTGCCGAAATTTTGAAGATTTCAAAAAATCTTAAAAGGAATGTTTTCATGTGAAACGCTACTCCATCCATAATTACCAAACATCAGTGTCAAAAATAATTAATTTCAAAAACTCATTAGTTATTCTGCAGGACAAAAAATGGTCAATAATCAAAAGAAAGATGTCTCGTTTGTTTGCGAGATGGGGGCCAATAAAAAATCCAAAGTTAATTGCGTCGTTAACTAAAATCGTTAAGAAAATTTTACGGTTTTTCTTTTTCTCTATTTTTTAAGAGAAACTTTCTTTAGGAATTTTTGAAAACTAAAACCATGTCATCTAACCACACTGATAAAAGCCACCTCGTCTCCCCATACCATTAGCTTTCAGCCAAATTATCTCGGTTCCTATAGCAGATATTGAAAATTGGTCAACTGATAAAATATTGGTGATATTATGATAAATAATTTATCAGTTAACCACTTTTTGATATCTTTCACAGTAACCGAGATAAATTGGCTCAAAGTTGACAGTAGTTTGCCTACTCTTTACGTTTATATTTGAGCCAATTTATCTCGGTTCCTATAGCAGATATTAAAAATTGGTCAACTGATAAAATATTGGTGATATTATGATAAATAATTTATCAGTTAACCACTTTTTGATATCTTTCACAGTAACCGAGATAAATTGGCTCAAAGTTTACCAAACCTTTTGGCTCTCCGTTGATGCATGGCTTCAGTTTGCGCAAACCGTTGGCTACTACAATCGAAAATAGTATGGCGGACGACAGCAAGAAAATCCTCCGAAGCATTTTTTTGGACGAATTACCTATAAAAAAAAATTTACCTATAAAAAAAATTTTACTGGGTGGTTCAAATCAATCGAAAAAAAATGTCAAGTGGGTTCATCATGTCCGAAAAAAGAAATTAAGGAAACTTGGAAAAATTAGAAGACGTCGAAAATTCTCTGGTTGTGGGGGCAAGAATCAAAATCGAGAGAGACGTTGTGTGTTGTAAACATTGGAGAGAAGGGTTAACATGATAACCTATTGCCGAGAAGAAGAAGAAGACAGAAATTGGAAATCAGGGGAATGGGAAGAAGAAGAAGAAGAAGAATAAGAAGACGTTGACGGAAAGAAGGAAATGGAAAAATGAAGAAGATGGTGTCCCCTCTAACTGTTGACTGTTTCGGCTGGTAATCAGTAACAATGATTGGGATGATTGGAGGACGTGAGAGATAGCTAAACAAGGTTATCACCATCTCGAGATAACGCCTTCTTGCAAAGGGATCGTTTAGAGTTTGAATTGAAGGAAGTTCCTAAAAATTATGAGATTTGAAGAATACAGTAATCCTTTGAAGATTCATGAAAAATGGATTTTGACCAGGAAAACCCAGAATCTGAAAAATGAAAAACTGAAAATCAGGTTTATCGCGTTTTGACGTTATCAGTTGGTCAGTGTGCTTGTTTATCATTCTGGAAGAGAAAAACCGTCCCACAACGACAACTACCGTATCCTAAAAATATTTTCATTTTCTGGATTTTTTTCTCGTTTTTCCCGCTTTTCGTCGAGTTTTCGGTTGTTTTTCACCTTTTGATGGTGAAAAAATCGACAAATAACCGCGGAACATGAAAATAATTTTGGGTTACTGTAGTTGTCGTTGTGGGACCTTCGGCCACGGCCACTAGATTGTCTCTTTCACAGCTCCCTTTTTCCAGAAAAATATCCTCTTTTTCATAAAAAAAAAACTCCTTTAAATATTTTCCCCATTCATTTTCTCTATCTCTTTCTGTTTCCTAACTGTTTGGCGCTGAAGAGAACGACAGAGAAGCAGAGAAACCAACGAAACTCCGATGTTTACGACAGGCGCCTGTTTTTTTTTGCTGATTCTACAACTTTTGTTTACAACCCGAAATCAATTTAATTTCAATTTTATCATGTTCAACTCGGAATTTTCCATTGAAAAATTTTAATAAAATTCGATTCTACAGTAAACTAAAGGCGCAACACGAAATTCTGTTCTTTGAGTCTCGCGCCGCACGCACTGTGTACTCCTCGTGGACAACCATTTTTTAAATGAATTTCCGGAATTTCAGCCGTTTTTCTTCGGGTTTTCTGCTTAGTTTTCCACTTTTAAACCAAAATCTTCTTCGTCAATTTAGTCTCAGATATTCTATCCTTCAATGAAATGCTTATCTCTCTTTTTCTCTTTCTCCTCGACCTATTTTCGTTCCGTTTCTTCTCCTCCAACTATAAAGGTAGTTTCTAACAAATAAATACTATGCTTTCCAGTTGGTATGTAATTAATTTTATGTGAAAAAAACCGAGAAAAAATTTAAATTAAGGATGGTCGTCTTGGTAACCAGATCCCTTCTCCCAGCCCTGTTGTTCGCTTCTAGAGCTCCACTCGTTCGATCTCAGAGGTTGATTTTTTGCTTTAAAAACTCGTTTTTCTCTTATAGTTAATAATTTTTGTAATCTAACCGCTGAAAATTGCAGAGGACTCGCAACGATGGCAGCCGAGGCATTCACTAAGCACGAAGTCATTCCGGACGTCCTGGCGGCCAATCCACCAGCCAAGCTTGTTTCGGTCAAATTCAATTCGGGAGTTGAGGTGAGTGAGATGCCAAAATTCATGCGTATCTTGTCAATTTTTCAGGCCAACCTCGGCAATGTGCTCACTCCAACCCAAGTGAAGGACGTGCCAGAAGTGAAGTGGGACGCTGAGCCAGGAGCACTCTACACCCTCATTAAGACCGATCCAGACGCACCATCCCGCCAGGAGCCAACCTATCGAGAGTGGCACCACTGGCTCATCGTCAACATCCCTGGAAACGACATTGCCAAAGGAGACACTCTCTCGGAGTACATCGGAGCGGGACCACCACCAAAGACCGGTCTTCACCGTTACGTCTACCTCATCTACAAACAGGCGGGACGCATCGAGGATAAGGAGCACGGTAAGCTCACCAACACTTCTGGAGACAAGAGAGGCGGATGGAAGGCGGCGGCGTTCGTCGAGAAGCATGGGCTGGGGGCTCCAGTGGCTGGAAACCTCTTCCAAGCCGAATACGACGACTACGTTCCAATTCTCTACAAGCAACTCGGAGCCTAAATGCTCCCTTCATTTTGTGATAAATTGCAGTGTTTTGTAAATTATATATTTGTTCAAATATCAGTCTTTTTTATTCCTTAAAATATGTAGCTTTTTTCTGTACCAGAACGTTCACAGTATCGCGAACAAGCATTTAAAGAAAGTGCGCCTCGCTGCAATTTCTTGTTGCAAAATTTGTCTGCGTAGCAGTTTTTAAATTTTTCAAAAATTGAAGCATTTTAAGCGCTGTGGAGGCTCTAAGCAGCTGGCGACCGCTTCGCCGACACGCGACGCGTCCGAATTCGGCTTGATGCCGAATTTCGAATATTAACATTCACGGCATCGCGAACAGACAATTGAAGGAAACGCTTCATTTTTTGACATTTAAAGCATTTTGAGCATTTTTAAAGCTCTACTCAGCTGGCACCCGCTTCGCCGACACGCGACGCGTCCGATCTTGGCTCCGTGCCGAATTTCAAATATTAACTTACACGCATCGCGAACAGACACCTAAAGAAAGTACTTCAATTTTTCGAAAATTAAAGCATTTTAAGCGATGTGAAGGCTCTAAGCAGCTCGTGACGCGACGCGTCCGAACTTGGCTTGGTGCCGATTTCAAATTAACGTTCCTTTCTCTGATGCTACGTCATCGTTCAAATTGACTGACGGCCAGTTCCAGTAACTTTTTTTTCCAAAACCTCTCTGGACAAGCTGTCATGAACACTCACTTCAACGTCAAAAGGACACAAAAAGCGGCGAGGAAAAAGCTTTTTCCCCACTTTTCTCTCTGTTTGAATATTCGTGTCAGATTGAACTCGTATTATAAACTTTCGGAAAGAGAGAAACACATCCCGAAATGTCCCAAGAGAGCAATGCGAGAGAAAGAGGAAACTCGAAGAAATGGGATCCAGTCAGATGATAGACAATCGTTTTCGGTTAATTCGTTTTGATTGTTCCTGTCGGTTTCGATTTCCCGTTCGCAGAAAGAGAGGAAAAGTCATTAGATCGGAGGGTTTTCGTAAAGCTATTTCGGCTTATACTTCCCCACTTTTCGCTGTTGTTTTAGGTCTCTTTCTGTACTTTTCACTATTATTCTAGTGCAAAAAATCGGTAGCCGAAGGTCCCACAACGACAACTACCATAACCTCAAATTATGCTTATTTTCTGGAGCTTTCTTTTCGATTTTTTTAAAGTGAAAATATTGACTGACAACGCACAAAAACCAAGAAAAAATTCAGAAAATATAAATATTTGTGGCTTACTGTAACTGTCGTTGTGGGACCTTTGGCCACAGCTACCGGCATTTCTCTTTCTAATCTCTTCGTTTTAACACTGAATTGATGCTTTTTTAAATGAAAAACCACATTTTTTTCGAGTTCAGCAATTGCAGTTAAAACATTTGGCCAGATTAGGGTTGGCAACGGGGCGAAAAACAACTTTGTTTAAAGGATCAGTAACCGAATTTTTTAGATTATTTTACGATTCAGGGTACCCAATTAGGCTACCCTGAAATTTTCAAGTCAATTGGTCCATTCAGCTACGCGCAATTACGCAAAGTATACCGACTCCCGGGGCAAGGGCGAATCCCCGCCCCGCACCCGCGGGGCGGGGTTCGCCCCTTTTCGCCCCCAAGCCAACCCTAGGCCAGATAAAGTATGCTTGCGCCTGTTTGTCGTTAATAATGCTCCCAGAAATAGTCAGATCGCTCTGATAATCCTTAGAAAAATCGAGCCAAAGTAGAAAGGGTTGTTACAAGCTTTCGAAATAAGATTCCGTAATCACTCTTGTAGAATTACTCCATCACTGA